AGCTCAAGGACCAGAGTTTGATCCACGGTACCAAAAAAAAAAGAAAAGAAAAGAAAAAGCTTCAAGATTTTTCATGATATATCTAATTGCAAATATACTCATGAAACATATCAAATATCTCAAACAGTTGTATTGAAGGTATTAATAAAATTTCTGACAATTACATTTTAATGACAATGCCAATAAAAGATTATAAATATGGCTCTACTAATAGTCCAAACCTTATTTTAAGAAAATGAGTAACTGGATTCAAGCTGCTGGTGTTTGTACCAATATTAGGAAGTCAAACAATTCAAAATGTGAAATTCAATTGTTTCATTCATGCATTTCTTTGCTGGTTCACTCAAGTACGTATCTTTTAAAGACCTAATTCCTGTTCAAAGGATTTCTCACCATCATTAATTACTCAAGTCTGCAGTCTAGATAAACGTCTCTATGTACTAGATTCCTATTTTTACAAAAATATGTAGTTGTACTATGGCTGCAGTTTGTATTTCACAAAAATATGTGATGAACCATTCTACAGTGTTTTAAAAGATAATTTGTTTTTAGAAATATTGAGACTGGCATGGTGGTACACTCCTGTAATCCCAGTATGCTGGGAGGCTGAGGCAGGAGGATTGCAAGTTTGAGTCCAGCCTAGAAAACTTAGTGGGACTCTGTCTCAAAAAAAAATTTAAAAGGGTGGGGCTGGAGATGTAACACAGAATGAAAAAGTTCCTAAGTTCCTTAGTACTTAAAAATTTTAAATACTCAAAAGTGATTACAATTTCTGCAAAAGCAAAGAAAAAAAAAACCATATTTGAACACTACTTTCTATGCCAGATGTGTACTGCCTGCCCCAGCTAACTTATCTGATAAATCCAGGGTGGCCATGCTGTAAGTATTATCTTGTACTCCATCAACTATTCCCAATGATGTATCTATATCGTCCACTTTAAAACATCTTTAAATTCGCCCTCACTAAACACCTGGTCGGTGAAAAGCCCACCTCTCTTCATCACCTGTACCAGACACCTCTCTCCATCCCCATGTCACTTTGAAGCAAGACAGCAGCAATAAATGACACACGCGTTCAAAATCAGCTGTGTCACCACTTCCCCCAGCGTGGATACTGACAGGTAGCAATGTAAAAACAAGCAAAACCCACCAATGTTCACACAAATACAACCCCGCTGAAGTCCAAGGGACAAAGTTATACATACCCAGCAGCCTCTATCAAGCCAGGGAATTTGCTCACATTTGTACACAGAATTCCTTATCTCAGTAATTTCATCCGTAGGGTAACAAAGGTGAGCCAGATTCCCATCCAGCTCCTACAGAACACACTAACTCTATACATCATACCACAACCACGGGCTCTGTTTCAGGCCCCTCCCCTAAATTCCTCAGCACCAGACTCAACTGGAGACAGCAGTTCCACCTGAAGGGTCTACAGCTCTGGACAAGTACTTAAAAAACAAAAACATTATCTTATAAAAAAAGCAATCAAACATGCATGCTGTGGATTACAACTTTCACATGGAAAATGTAATTTATTATTCATTTCTATGGCTGTTTGATTTAAATTCTCTAGTAAAGCATGCGCATATGTGTATCTTCGGTATAAAAAAAATTCTGGTAGGTGGAGAGCTTAACTCCCTATTCACAAACATCTAAGAACTGGGTTTTGATTTTTGTTCCCTTTTTTTAACTATATATCCTGCCAGGTTCCTTTTGTCTTGAGAAGCCCAGATGAGGCACAGCTTTCTTATGGCCCAGTAAGCACCCACATCCTATGGGATGGCACCAGAGTGACACCAGAGACTGACAAGGATATTCCCAGTCCTTTCTACATGCAGTTGTCTCCATCAAACCCAGCAGCTGAGAGTAGAAGGACTCTGTTTCACAAGCTTCTCTGTGCATGGGAGGAGCTGCTGGCCATGCAGTAACCACCCACAGACTCTCATGAGAGACGTCACAATGTGCCTCCTGAGGGACCCTCATGTCACAGCAGGTTTGCTAATGAAATTAAGAACAAAGGCAGACAGGAAATTTTCTATTGTCTCCATTTTGAAAGGGGCTGACAAACAAACCCCTTGGAACTGATGAACTAACTACACAAGAGACCTACAAAGCCACTTCTGTTTCAGGGGCCCAGAGGAGGGTCACTGTTGAGGTAGATAACATTTATGCTATATGTGTGGTCTGCCTGATAGGAACTCGAAAAAATATTTTTTTTTTAATTTATTGAAGGACAGAGTCAACAAAATGTCTTTTGGGGAGAAAGAGAAAGAAAAAAGAAAACCTACCACCTTCCCCAAAAAGATCAACTACTAAGAACAGTCAAGAGGTGAGTCTAGCTGATTGTCATTTTGACCTTGCTTCGCTTTAATTCAGGAGACTATTTAGAAATGTAAGGAGCAACCCCTTTCATTCGGCTCAGCTAGCAGAGCTAATAGGCTTCTAATTAATTTCCAGAAGATTGCTGTTATAACTAACAGGTTTTAAACATTTGGTTGATTGGGGAAAATGAATTGAATATAATGTATTTGATTTGGAAAATTAGTTTTCATTCTATGTGCTTACCATAATAGTGTTTATTTTAAGTTTACATGATTCCATTAAGAGTCCCAGAACATCACCGGGTTGTTTTCATCCCTACGGAGTTCTATCCAACTTTAAAAAAAAAATCAATTTACATTTAGATTTCTGTTAGTCTTTATGTGAGGGCACGTTAAATTCATTTCTGTGGCTTTAATAAAAATCTTTGCTTGCTAATAATATAGCAATGGGCCCCAAATACTTCAAAATGATCCCGGTGATAGCTCAGTCAAAAGTCCACTCATCGAATGCAAATCCTCCAGAGAAAGGCTCTGCACACGGAGCGAGATGAACCAGAAGGGCATTGTTTATGAAGTTTCACTTGATTCCTCCTGACAACCATTTAAACAATGAATGTTGGGAAATGTCCCTCAAAGAATCAACAACAATGGCAAGGATCAGCGCTTTTATATTTAGCTAATACTATTTTTAAAAGGAGAAAATATTTCTTCCTGAAGGGATTATAGGAAGCCTTATTAAAGACACCTGCAAACAAAACAAGTGACAATAGATCTTTATCATAATTGATAACTGAGTTATCCTTTATATACAACACCTTTCTCGGAGACAATAACCTCAAGATTTACCTTTGCTGTGGATTGAAGAAATCAGCTAATTAGGACCAGCAGCATTCAACAATGGTTAAGTCTACCAAGATCATGTGAGCGGATAAAAAAAGATGCTTGTCTATCTGGTTAAACAGAAGTGCAAGACTAGAATTTCTTTTCCCCCCACTGCTGAAAACGTTTTATATTGAAATCAAGCAGCATCCATCCCTTTCCCTCCACAGCCGATACAAAAACACTCAAGGGATTCTAATTAGCAGGCCTCACTCTGCTAAGCACACAGTGGGCCAGCTAGCTCCGGAAACCTTGGCCTTGCTTGCAGTTGCGAAGAAACAGAACCTTTCACAAAATCTTCTCCAAGTAATTAACAATCATGTCGAAATGCATACCAGTCATCTGCATTCTATGTAAGGAATGAAACTATTTAGTGAAAGGTTGCTCCTGGGGATAAATAATATAGCAAAAATCCAGCAGGACACATTTTAAAAAGTGAGTTTTCAGAGGAACTTGTTCACAGTCACAGGACTCCTCCCCCAGCGCATCCCAGCTGAGTCCTGGGTTATGTCACCTCGGTACACAGAGCTGTCGTCCCCTGTACGCTACGCTGTTTGCAAGCAAATGTTCATTCTGATCTGCCTGTGCGACTGACTTCTGGTCATCACTGGAGGCCTAAGTGATTTTTCTGATATAGTTTATTTTTCAATTAAGTAACATTGACTCTTTTTATGCCAGTGATGTCAGAGGGGATTATAAACTTAAAGATTATACGACCATGGGATGGGGGAGAGGACTGAGCCATAATCAGAGACCCTGGCTGTAGCACTGTCCTTTCTTGGCCCTGAACTTGGCTCATGCTTAGAACTACTATCACTTGGCACTTAGGGAAAGTGAAAAAGGTTCAAACTCATGACAGGTCAGCCACAGGAGCTGGGACTGCAGAATATGCTCTGCTTTTTGATAGATGCCATTACATTTCCAAAATAAATACTTGGATTTAAAAAAGTCTCCTTGGCCCAAATCACTGAAAAGGAGACAGAATTAAAGAGCAGGAGGGGATGAGAGCTAAGATGCCCCAACATCAATCTTTAGGATGTGGAGTTCACAGACAAAACAAATGCTGCACAGAAGGTATTTTTGAAGCATTGCTGGTTTTTCTCTTTTCAAAGAAAGATACCTTAAGACAGAGCAATCAACGTGTAAAAAGAAAAGCTGCCTAGAAAAACAAAAAAAAGACATTTTCTGAGATGACTTTGATCCCGTACTCAAATTATTGGCTTAAACATGCTCACCTTCAAAGGCTTTGTATCTGCAATAACTGCTCTCTATTGTCCTTGTTAACAAAGTATTATTTTCATCTTATTATTACTAATCTTTCCTTTGTAAGTAACCACACCTGGTTTTATCCCCCTCCCAAAGGGAGAAAAAAAAAAACACAGTGCAGTAAATATTTGCTCTTTGTGGTGATACAATGCATAATTCAGTTAATCTGGGCTATCTTTCCATGCGAGGCGATTGTTTCTATATTATGAAATGTGTTCACAGTGAAGTGAAATCCACGCCAGATACCTGCGAGGCAGACAGAGAGCCACTTACCCAGCATGTAGCTGCCACAAACCAACTCTGACAGGACTGCGTGGCCACTCCTACACAAGAAGTATTACTCACGCTCACTTAGCCTCGGAATCACAGCCACACCTTTCTTTTACAAACACGAGCTTTTCATTAAGGTAACATTACACATCACTGGGCCAAGGGCCCTGCTCCTATTTCCTTCCCCCATGAAATAGCCTTGGAAAAAAAAATAGGACCTTCAGTTATCCATTTGACAACTTGACATTACTGTTACGTTACCTGGATGAAATCTAGAAATGTCAAGGGAAGTAAGTCATCCATATGTCCAATGTCTTTGGAGAAACGATTTAAAATTCTTCCTGCAAGAACAGGATATGAGAAATTACTCATTTCCCCAGATAGACCCTTTAAGAGAAACAATTCCTAAACAAATCAAAACAATATTTTAAATGCATATGTATTTAATATAGTATGCATTCATATGAAATAAACCAATGTCAGTGGCAAAGAAAGAAAAGAGGATGATACCTAAAGAAATAAAAATACCACCAAATGGTACTAAACAAGGAATTACAATGTGGCCCTGATTTAAAAGGGGGTGTCTTGTAACAGTGACAGTATTGGGAAGGGTTAAGTTTTATTTACTTTTTTATTATTGGTATACATTTGGGTTGGGGAATTTTAGAACATTTCTCAATTTTAGGTCCCATTTAGGACTTCGGTTCAAGTGCAAAGTGGGGAGGTGAACAATAGCAAAATATTAAATCAATCCCAACTGTTAGGCTAACTTTGCTTTAGTTATCAGAATTTTGCTAATTAGTACATTTTTAAATAACTATAATTGTAACCTGTGTGTGTGTGTGTGTGTGTGTGTGTGTTTTCTTTTTGGCCAGGTGGTTCATGGTTCTATCCTTTACACTTATTTAATTTTTAAAAATTGAAGTCACACCCACACAGAGCCTATTCTGATGCCAGCAACCCATTCAGTGTGTTTGCTGACCCCGAGCTTATGTGCCAACTGCTGCTTTGGGAAGCCAGACTACCAGTGCGATGAGGGACCCCCGGGTGCTCCTGTCAGTGTCTGTCCGAGAGGACTTCCCCCAAGGCCCCTCATACCATGGAGCCACTGGACTGGGAATGAGCAGGGTCTAGGGCTGAGCTTCCGCTGCCTCTGCAGTTCTTCCTTGGGGCACTCAGGCTCACTGAGGAAGCACGAGGTGTGCACATCTGAGACAAGCAGAGCTGCAATTTTCCTGTCTTCAGCTCAGAACATACGGACTCTGTAAAGCATCCTTCAGTGCTATCTTTGGCAGGCCCAGCAACAACTTTCTCAGCCTGTAATATCACATCCTTTAGCGTTGTCCCGAGGATTAAATGGGGCATGCCCATGAAAGAAGCGAGTCACAGTGCCTGGCACTTTTTAACAGATGCTCACCAACAAACAGAAGGTACGAGGATGACTATGACTGCAGGTTCTGCAGCACGCCATCTGGGGAGGAAGTTCGAAGTGTTTTAAATGCAGATTCTGATTCAGTGGCTGGGGTGGAGCTTGAGAGTCTGCATCTCTACCAAGCTTCCAGCCTGCCCTGCCTGCAGTTTTCCAGATCACACGTGCAGGAGCAAGAGGATGGACGAGTGTTGATCACACATGTTGAGGAACATTACCATCAGATGGGCAATTTTTCCCACCTATTCTTACACACTCTACAGCCTATTTAGTTATATTTTAACTTCCCAAAGGTCAACGCCAAAAGAAAGAAAAACAAAATATTAAATAACAAAATATTAAATATGTAATTAAAGTACTTTCTTTCAATGGAAAGGTTACAATTTTTTAACACAGGCCAAATTCAGATGCATTGAAAGTGGTTCCGTGTAAAATGTCAGGAAATATTCAAAAAATTTCTTTAAAAAAGATGAAAATACTATAGAGAGACGATAAGTAAGTGCAAATCGCTCCTTTACCTTTTGTTAAATACAAGAATCTTAAGGTCTAGGGGACCCAAGTTTTGACAACAGCATAAAATACAATATAAACACAAATCATTTAGAAAAGCCATCTCTCCATATAGCTACCTCAATCGTGGAATATCAGAGACTCCAAAACCCAAACTCTCACTCACTAGCTAAGTACAGAAAATGTGAGATTGGAAAGTTCAATAATTAACATTTCGCTGCTCTGAGAAACAATGAAGTCAATGAGTGATGTATGCAGAATATTATCACCTGGCTTTGAGGGCAGACTTGAAATCAGAGCGGTGATGTCAAGTTTATGGCCTCATAGCCTTTTTCTCAGAGGTCTCCAAATCAAATCTCATGATGAATTCCCTCCATGCGCCTGCCATGCCTCTTCATCCCAGTGACCTGTGGTCCCCGCTGAAATGTGTCCAGAACACAAGGGAAGGGGAGTCAGCTTCCGGGGGGACGCTCAGTCCATTTTCCAATGGCTCTGTCACAAAGGGCTTGCATATGTGTATTAAACCTTCCTGGAACATCAAACTATTACTGCTACTTATTCTGCCCTTATAGATGCGAAGAGTGAGTCAAATTTCTCTTGCTATGACAACTCTTCTTCTCATACCCTTTACAGATTTCTCAGGAGCAACTGACGCAGATGGCCAGACTCACTTCATGCCTGGTGCCCAGGACTGAAATCAGTATCTTTCCTGTATGTGGGATCATCAGATATGTGATCTCTAGCTTCTTTTGCTTAGTCTAAGTTTTCTGAGGTTCTTCCACAGCACAGCATGGGTCAACAGTTCTTCCCTTTTGAGTCCTATTCTTTGCCAGAAAAAATAGTCTTAAATATCAGCCAAAAAAAAGTCGTACCAGACCTTGATGGTAAAAGTGGACATCTAAGAAGAAATAATCTTAGGATGAACTTTTTTGTATATACCCATATTTTGGTCTATATAAAGAAGGGACGTATCTAAAATCCAGTTATGGCTATAGAACCTAAGTCTTCTGCTAAGAATTGGCCTTTGAAAATGGACATAAGCTTGGTGGTAGAGAGCCTCCTAACATGTGTGAGACCCTAGATTTAATCTTTTGCACCTGGAGGGAGGGGTGCTGAGTTTGGGCCACTTACTGCATTGGCTGAGGTGCACCCACACGGCCCTGTAGCCAATGTTAGGAGGAGCAGGGGGACAGGCAAAAGAACTACTGTCTTGGTGAGAAGTGGAATCTAAACCTAAGTCTAATCCAAAGAGCACAGTCCATCTAGTAGAGCAAAAACAATGGACTGGAAAACCCAGGCAGAGAACATGGTGGCTAGGTGGGGTTCAAAATGAAGAATGGAAGGTAAAAAGGATAGCTGTGTGCATGGCATGGTTCAAGGAAGCCATTCAAGGAGTGAGCCAGCTGGACTTTCTACAGCATTTTACACTAATTCAGCCAGAGTAGCCTGAGAAGGAAACAGGAGCTGCTGAGGTCTGGCAGTTTGGCCCATCTTTTTTGTCTCTCCAGTCAGAACAGGCCTTTAACACTGTGGAGGCTCACAGAGTGAAGTGAAACAGAGAAAACAGCATGAACGAGGCTGCACGAGGTCCTCATCCTCCTCTGACACTTGGCAGGGAGAGGACTTCACAGTACTCAAATTCCACTGAAACTCAAATTCCTTATCTTTACAATGCAGATGATAAAATTTGTCTCTACTTCACAGAGCTGAAGATCGAGAGGATAAAGAGGTCGTGATTACAAAGGCATCTAAATTTGGAAGCAGCACACACATGACTTAGTCATTATTACTATAGGATTTTAGAACTTGAAGGGGCATGAAAGATCTCCAGGACAAGAAGTAATTTCAAAACTCCATCCAGTGAAGATTCTGAAATTCTACCCTGAAAATCCCCGCGAGACAGAGGAGGAAGTGGAACACGCCCAACTCCACTCCACCCTCCTTTGGCTGCCTGTCGGCTCCCCTGACATCCACTGGACATTCACATAGGAATCACCTTTAAAGAAGGCTTCTGCAGGCAACAGAAATGCTCGTGAACATTTTGTGGACCTTGCTTTGTCAGAGGTGAGGAGAAGACGACCAATCTCACTCAAAGAGCTGCAATTTTGTCATGAGCAGATGTTGCCTGCCCAGCCTTCTGGGGATTTCCACACCGTAGAAGTGGGGAGTATGAGCAATCTCATTCTTCAACTTCCTTCAGTAGCCTTTGCTGGCTCTCACTTTTTCCTGCAGATAGAGCCGCTGGCTGACTTTGGTGGGGGGTCTTTTCCTGAACTTTGCTCACAGTCATTATCTTCATTCCCTGTATTTTGCTCTCTTTCCTTATTTTCACTTCCTGTTTATTTATCCCAAATCTTATCATCACTCCTGATCTCCTTGGGCATACTCACGACACACAGCTATCCACCAAAACATCTTAAGCTCAGTGTGGTGAAATCAAATAGACTCCTTTGAAGGGGAAGTGAGAGGGGTGAGGGAAAGAAAGAAGAGAAGAGAAAAAAAAAAATAAGAAAAGAAAAAAATGGAAACAAAGTCTTTGTAAATAGGGAAGGGTGGAGGGGGTAAGGGAGGCCAGGGGAATGGGGAAAAATGAGAACCGAGATCTGTTACATAAAGGTACAAGATCCCAGTGATGAATGTAACTGTACTGTTTACCTAAAATGTACCAATAAACTTAATGGAAATAAATAAATAAATACAGGCATAGACGCCTCGGAATCTGACCCACAATGACCCATATCCAACTTCTCCAACTGTGTGTCTGACTTGTGCCCAAAGACCCAGCACAAAAATGTCCACACGTTCGATTTATCTTTATCTCAAATAATTAAGAACATGCCTTAATTTTCCATTTAAAATAACCTCATTTGCATCCTTATTTCCTTATCGCATCAATTCTATCAAGCTTTTAGGAACAGTGAGGAGATAACAGGTACTCACCTAACCTGCTCTCTAGCCCTCCCGAGGAGGCACCTTTGTTCTAACTGGAAGATCTACTCTGTCCTCTATTCACCTCCTGGGTCCTCGATTCTCATTCAACAGCCTCCCAGCCCAGGTTCTCAGCCTTCCTTTCTCCTCCTTGAACGCTTGCTGATAAGTATGGCTTTCAGGAACTTGCAACTCACTTGAACTTCTTCATCTATACTGGACAGGCTTGACATGTCCAACACTCTTCTCAAGACTCCCCACAGCGTGGGCACCAAATGTAGCCAGGGGACCTGGGGCCTGGCTGTCAAATGATCCGTGGCCCCTCTGAGTAACAAGAAGTCCATAAGAAAAGCAGAAGGGCAAACACATTATCCAAAGCAAAGGGCACAGCAGAAGCACACCCCTGTGACAGTGGCTCCTAACTCCTTGGGACCACTGCGAGTCCAGTTCCAGGGCAGTCAGTCCTGGTCCTGC